CGGGCGAACGAGCCGCGCGAGACAAGGCTGACTCTGACGCGGACGGTCTCGCCGGCGACAAGGGCCCAGTCGGGTGCAAACGGGGCCGGCGAGCCGATGAGCCCAAAGTTGACCCGCTTGGACGGCGGCCGGGCGCGCCAGTGCGCCTCGGCCGCCGCAGCCTGCGAAGCGCAGAGCGCGGCGTACGCCCGGCTGCCGACGTAGTCAAACGGAAAGGCGGCGGCACCGGCCTCGGTAGCCACCGCTGCGGCGTCGTCATGCCCGATGGCTCGTGCGCCGGCATACACCATCGCGAGCATAAAGGCCTTGCCGTAGCCGCGCGGGACGACAAGGTCAAACCCCGCGCCGTAGCCGTGCGGTCCGAGCGCCGGCCGCTGGACGACCATGACCGGGACGGGCGCAGCGAGGGGCGAGCCCGACTGCGCGGCAGCGGCCACAAACTCGGGCGTGCCCCCCCCGAGTACCGAGCCGCGCAGCGCGTTGACGTCGGCAGTCGACGGAACGGCGGCGGCGAGGGCTGCTCGTTCGGCGCTCGAGACGAGCGTGCGGCGGACGCTGGCGTCGCTGGCGGTGCCCGGCCAGTTGCTGACAAGCTGGCTGTTTGCATGCGAGACGCCCATGGCCGGCCGCGGCGGAAGCCCACTTTTGGCCGATGCCCACTGCCCACGGCGCGCCGGCGAGATGCTTGGCGGCGGCTTGCGGAAGACCAGCAGCCGCGGGTCGGTGATGCCGGCGGTGAGCACAGCCCGCGCAGGAAGCGAGTCTGGCGAGTGCAGCTGCGCGAGGACCGTACCGGCGCCGCTGGCCTCGCCGAGAAGCAGCGCCAGAATCCGGTTACTCCGCGGGCCGAAGAGGGTGAACCGGCAGAGCTCGCCGGGCAGGAGGTGCTCGACGGTGGTGCCAGGCACCGAGGCTGCGGCGGATGCGAGTACGTCGGTAGCGTCGGCAGCAAGCGCGGGATGGAGGGTGAGCCACAGGCAGTTGTCGGCCATCCACACGCCGGTTGTTGGGCCGAGGCACCCGCCACCGGGCGCGGCAAGGCCAAAGTCGACGCCGCGCTCGCCAGACATGGCAGCGAGGACGCGGGCAGCTCCATCTGGCGTGGCAGCCAAGAGCGGGAGAACGGCGGCGGCAGCGGCGGCCGACGCAAACGAGATGGCGGCGGTGCGGACAAACGAAATGTCACGGACAAGCGCCTCGGTGGCGGCAGCCTTGACCACATACCGCGCGCCCTTGTCGGTAGAGGTAAGCGCCATGCGAACGCCCCAAATAGTGGCCATGTGCATGCGCTTGGCGTGCCACACGTGAGTCTCCAGCCAGAACGCCTTGCCCGCCCGGCGTGTATAGTCAACGATCGAGTTGGGCCGCCGCCGCCTCTTGCGCGACGGCTTGTCGGCCGCCGCCGCCGGCTTGACCTCGAGTTGGGCCGCAAACCTCAGCCGCTTGGGCAGCCGCTTGACGTTGTGCGAGGCGGTGCGGCGGCGGAGGTAGCGCGGCAGCTTCTGGAACGCACGCTGGCCATCCGTGGTGATGGTATTGGCCTCGAGCATGGCGTTGATCTCCGCCAGGCGCACCGCAGCAAACTGGATGGGCTGGAGAATGGTCGGGTCCGACAACATACTCAGCGAGCCGGTCATCTTCACGCTCGAGTTTTTCTCTGTCCGATCCATGCTGTGTGAGTGTGCATGCCGTGGCAACTCATGCCGAGGGCATCGGCCACGGGACGGCCGGCGGGCACATCCGGTCCGGTCCGTCCATCCATAAAGGACGTGCCAGGCCATCTCTTTCAGGCTGCATGGCACCACCACCATGGCTGCAGCTCCATGAAGACATCATCAAAGGACATCATGACAACGACATCATTATAGAGGTATCATGCGAGTGGTCATCATTGTCCATATGCCCGCCCATCACCACCACCACCACCACCACCACCACCACCACCACAGACGGTGCACAACACGCCACCAGCCCCCCATTCCCCCCCACACACACACAAACATATACACACACACAATCATCATCATCATGGGCACGTACGCCTCTTGGCATGCCTCCGTGACTTGGCGTTCATGCCTACACACTGCGTCCAAACCACGGGCACTCCCCCAAAGACGAGTGACCACACAGCTGACCACCGACCACCGACCACCGACCACCGACCCACCGACCTCCGACCGACCAACCACAACCCACCGACCACCGACCACCGACCACCGACCACCGTCCCACCGACCACCGACCACAACCCACCGACCACCGACCACCGACCGACCGACCACAACCCACCGACCACTGACCGACCTCCGCTTGCCGCCCGCACACCCCCCCACACACTCTCTCTTCATCAACTGACTTCTGGAGATCCCATCGATAACGCCATCCAGTGCAGATCCCGATCCTCCCCAACCCCAACCCCAACCCCAACCCCAACCCCAACCCCAACCCCAACCCCAACCCCACAGTGCGACCCGGCGACAAGTCGCCAACCTTCCACCAACCACCACCACCACCCCACTCACCCCCGCTCAGCATGGCTGCTGCAGGATACCGTTTGTCTGCACAGGTGGGCGGGCACTCCAAGGACGTGCGGTGCGTGGCGGCGCTCTCGTCGTCGACCATTGCCACCGGCTCGCGCGACGCCACCATCATCATCTGGCACAACGTACCTGAGACCACCACATGGGAGCCCATGCGGACGCTCTACGGTCACGAGCACTTTGTAGCTGCACTGGCTGTCCTTGGCCCGCCTAGCCTGGTTGCTGCCTCTGGATCGGATGAGCCGGCTCCGCTGGACGAGGCGGACTCAGTCCTGCCGCTCCTCGCCTCGGCTGCCTACGACAACACGGTTATGATCTGGGACTCGGCTGCGGGCGTGCCGCTCGCTCGGCTGGAGGGCCACACGGGCAACGTATGCTCGCTGGTGGTGGCCCCTGGCGGCGAGCTGATCTCCGGCTCGTGGGACGCCACTGCCCGCGTCTGGGCTCCGTCCGACGGCCACTCGGCCCACGGCCCGGCCTCACGCTGCGTCTCGGTCCTCGAGGGCCACGAAGGCTCAGTCCTGGCCCTTCTAGCTGATTCTCGCCGCGGGCTGCCGCTGGTTGTCTCGGCCGGCTCGGACAAGACGCTGCGGGTGTGGAACGCAGCGACCTGGGCCTGCTCCGCCGTCCTCCGCGGGCACGACGACGTGGTCCGCGGCCTGGCGCTCGCTGGTGGCCCAGACTCGGACCTGGTTGCCTCGGTTGCCAACGATGGCATGGTCAAGATGTGGTCGATGACCTCGGGTGCATGTGTCCGCACTCTTGGTGGCGCCCACTCAAACCTGGTGTTTGCACTGGCTGCCCTACCGTGGTCCTCGGCGGCAGCACCGTCGCTGGTCACCGGTTCGGAGGACAAGTCGGTGGTGGTCTGGTCCGAGGCCGAGCCGCTGCAGACCATTGCCTTCCCCACCACGGTGTGGGCGGTGGCGGCACTGCCGAACGGCGACTTTGTCGCAGGCTGCGCTGACGGCATCGCACGCATCTTCACGGCCTCGGACGCGCGCATCGCCTCCGACGATGAGCTCGCCGCCTTTGAGGACTACGCCTCGGCGGCTGCGCTTGTCTCGGGCGGACAGCAGGTCAAGCTCGACGAGCTCGACGACATTTCGCAGCTGACGGTTGTCGAGGGCGCCCGTGACGGCGAGACCAAGCTCTTCCGCGACGGCTCCAAGGCTGTCGCCTACTCGTGGTCCGCCGCATCCGGCGCATGGGTTCTCATCGGCGACGTTGTGTCGGGGCCCGGCGGCAAGGAAATGCTCAACGGCAAGTACTACGACTGTGTGTTCGAGGTCGACGCCGGCGACGGCAACGGCAACTACAAGCTTGGCTACAACCACGGTGAGAACGAGTACGACGTCGCCACCCGTTTTTGCGCCGAAAACGGTCTCCACCCGCAGTTTATCGAGCAGGTTGCGCAGTTTATCCGCACCAACGCCGCGCCGCAGACGCTCGCCATGGGCGCAACTGAGCCGGCGTGGACCCGTCTGGGCCTCTCCTCGGCCCATTTTCCGGTCACTGCCCCGGCGTTCTTCATGGCCGCCAAGGGCCTCTCCCGCGCCGCAGACAAGCTCGCCGCAGACACCGACGCCGACGCCGACGCTCTCTCTGACCTTGCCGCTGTCCTCGCTGACGTCGGCCGCTACCACTCGTCGGTTCTTCCCACGGCGTGGATCGAGGCCCTGCTTGCCGCTCTCGCCGCTGCACCCAACGGCTCCAAGTTTGCCGCCTACGACCTCCTCCGCATGCTTGTCCTCCACCCGAGCGGCGCCACCTACTTTGCCGCCGCCCCAGGCGAGCTGGTCGGCATTGTCGCCGATGGTGTCGCCTCGGGCTCAGGCCCGCGCCGCATGCTTGCCCTCCGCCTCGCTGTCAACGCCTTCAAAGCCCTGGTCCTCCGTCCCGACATGCTTGCCAGCGCCGATCAGCTGCTGGCTCTCGTCGCCGGCCTCGTCGACCCGGCCGCCATCGCCTCGCCCAAAGAGCTCACCGCTGCGCTCGGCGTCGTCGTCGGCTACGCTGGCCTTGCCACCGACCTGGCCGCCGACCGCATCCGCGACCTGGCCGCCATCGTCAAAACCGTCCTCGAACGCAACGACGACGGCCTCGCCTTCCGCGCCCTCACCGCCTGGGGCACCTGCCTCGTCAAGGCGCCGTCGCACGCAGTCGACATTGCCGTCTCTGCGGGCCTCCTCACCGCCGTCTCCAGCTACGTCTCGGACCACGCCCAGATGCAGAGCATCCTTGCCGACATCAAGGCCTTTTCTGGCTCTGGATAATACATCGCCCCCCCCCCCTCCCCCCCTCGGGTACCGTGTCGTCACTCTCGCCCAAAACCAAAACTGCATCAATCTCCCCAATTAGCCAAAACAACACACAACGCCGCTGACCAACCTCACTTCCCCTTTACCCCACACCCACACACCCCACACACACACCCCACACTCACACACACACACACACACACACACACACACACACACACACGCACGCACACACACACGCCACCCCATGGCGTCCACACACCCGACGGGGACGGGCGGGCAGTCGCTGGACATCCGGGCGCAGAAGAAGAAGGTCTTCCTCCGCTGGGTCGTCCATTATGTGGCGCCGTATGGCATCACCGTCACTGATCTGGTGGAGGACATGCGGGATGGCACTGTGCTGCTGCTGCTGCTCAAGGTGTTGACCGGAAAGGACCCCACCCCAAATTGGAAGGCTCCCACAACACCAAAGGCTCCCAGACCGCCCGGCGAGGACGAGCCGCAGCTCGAGATGCAGAAGACCTCGTCGGGCGCTGCGCTGGCCATCAAGCGAGCTGATCGCATCACCAACGTCCACAACGGCCTACTCTTCCTCTCCCGGAACGCCAAGGGCGTCTCGCTCTCGCATCTCTCGGCGGAAGACATTGTCAACGGCAAGATGAAGAGCATCTTTGATCTCGTCTACGAGCTTGTTCGCGAGTTTGAGCTGCGCAAGCTCCTCGGCGCCCGTCTTGCCGTCGGCGCCGACCTCGGCTCGCTCGAACACCAGTGCCAGGCCCTCATCCGTCTTGTGAGCGACACCCTCGCCCACTATGTCCACGTTGACCTCAACGCGTTTCCGCACGACTTTGCCGACGGCCTCTGCCTCGCCGCCCTCCTCCACGCCACCGAGTACACCCTGATTGACTTGTACTCGATTGTCGTAGCCGCGCCGGGCGCTCCGCGTCGCGGCGAGGCCCTTCTCGACCACGCCATGGGCATCGCACACACCCTCGGTGTCCCGCGCCTCATCGACGCCTCGGACGCGACCTCGCTCTCGTCCGAGTGCTTCATCACCTACTTTGCCACCGCCCTCAACATCATGAACGACCGCGCGCCGTCACCCGACGACCGTCCGCTCGCCCTCGCCCAGGTCCGCGAGCTTGTTGCAGAGAACTCCCGCCTCAAGGCCGCCGCCAAGGTCATCCAGGCCAAACTTGCCTCCGTCGACGACCACAAGCGCGAGCTCGCCGCAGAGTTTGATGAGGCCTCGGCTGAGAAAGACGCCACCGTTCGCGCCGCGCGCGCAGAGGTTGATGACCTCTCCACTCGCCTCAACGAGCTTCGCTCTCAGCTCGCTACCGCCGTCGCCGCCAACGCCCGCCTCCAGGCCTCGCTCGACACCCTGGTCCAGGACTCGTCCGCCGCCGCCGTTGCCTCGTCCGGCACCGCTGTCTCACCGCCCGAGGGCGTCGTTGCCCTTGTCGCCACCCGCATCTACGGCGCCTCGGCCCTCTGGGACGCTTCGCCCGAAGTCATGGTCGCCGCAGAGTCGCTCCTCCTGCGCTTGGTTCGCACCCTCCTCGTCGAGCGCTCGGGCTATGAAGTCTCGTGCTCCGACGGCTCGCTCCTTATCGCCTTTTCCTCTGCGCTCTCCGCCGTCGCCTTTTGCATGCGCGTCCAGATTGAGGCCATTGACCTGCCCTGGCCCGAGCGCCTCGCCTCGCTCCATCCCGACTTTGTCGCCACCGAGCAGTCGATGGACCGCTCCACTATTTTCCGCGGCCTCCGCCTCGGCATCGGCGTCCACGTCGGCCGCCCGACCCTCAAGTCGACCGCCGTCACCTCCTCAGGCGTCACCCGCGCCGTTTACGTCGGCGGTGATGTTACACTCACAAAGTGGCTCGCCCAGGCCGCTGCAGGCGGCCAAACTGTCCTCACCCACAAGGCATACGGCGCCGTCGCAAAATCACTTCACACTCTTGACCTCCGCGTCCACGAAGAGTCGCTCGGCAAGTTTGAGGTCTCGGGCGAGATCCAGGCCACCGGCCAGCTCTTCTCGCTCCTCCCTGAGTTCCTGGTCCACCGTCGCTTCCCCCAGCTCCGCCTCAAAGGTTCCGCCTCTGACGCCGCAGACGCGGCCAAGAACGCCCTCTCTGCCACAGAGCGCAAGTACCGCCTCCTGCAGGAACGCAACGCCGCGCTCAACAACTCCCTCAAGACCCTCTCGGCGCAGGTCGGGTCGGCCAACGAGTATGCGCTCCGCCTCGCCTCCAAGCTCCGCTCCATCAACTCCAACTCGGGAACCGACAAGGAGCTTGCCTCGCTCGTTGCAGAGCTCGACTCGGTCATGTCGCGCCAGGACAAGCTCTCGTCGCAGCTTGCCATGGCCTCGGCCGAGCGCGATGTCCTCAACTACGAGCTGACCGAGGTCAAGGACACCCTCGTCTCGGAGCGTAACTCTATCGCCGCAGACATGGCCGCTCACGCCCGCAGTGACTTGGAGACCGAGGCCGCCAGAGACGCAGACCCTGGAAGCGGCGGCTCGCACATGATGTACAACCACAACCCCAAGCTAGTCCAGCAAATCGAAGAGCTGCAGCTCTCGCTGCGCAAGGCCACCCGCGCCGCCGCCGCCAAGGAGATCGGCCTCAAAGAGCAGCTTCGCACCACCCGCAAGCAGCTCGAAGCAGCTCAAGAGTCCATCAGAGTCCTCGACTTTAAGCTCCAACACAACATCTACACAGATCCGGAAGAGGCTGTCCCGCTCGACGACGTGCTGAATGATTCCAATCTGCCCGAAAACTTTCCCCACCTGCCTGGCTCGGCAGCCTCGGGCGGCGGTGGGCCGGCCGGTACCTCGCTCTCGCCCCACGCCTCACGACACACCCGCCGCCACTCGGTCTCGCACGGCTCACAGTCAAGCATCGATTCGCCCACACATCGCTCAGAAACAGGCATTGCTGGCCTGCCCACCCTCCCGCGCATCGCCACAGAGTCGGACAACGAACCAGCCGCCGTCCAGGTTGGCACCCGCCGTGCACACTCTGAAATCGAGTGGTCCAAGGAGCGCCTTGTCGAGCTCGCCCAGCAGAAAAAGGCCCGTGCCCACTCGCGCTCGCGCTCGCGATCGCGATCGCGATCGCCCACACGCTCCCCGCCAGGCTCGCTCGACAACTCGGCCGCTTCAGTCCGCCTCAACAAGTCGGCCGCTGGCGCCCTCGACGCGTCGCTCAGCAACGCCCGCGGCCTCGCCGGGCCGCCCAAGATCAACAAGCGCGTCCAGACCAAGCACCACGCCCGCGTCGCCGTCGCCAAAGTCCTCAACGTCATCTACACCCGCCCGCTGCAGGAGATGTACTCGACAAAGACCGAGCTCGCCCAGGGCCACGCCCTCGCTCTCCTCTACGACACGCTCACCTCGGCGCTCTCCACCCTTTTGGCTCTCTTCCCTGGCACCATCGACTTTCTCTACTCGCTCAAGCTCTTTGTCGCCGCCCTCGACGAACGCTACAAGTGGCTCCATACCGCACGCTCCGACGTCAAGTACGACGACATTGTCGACATTGTCCACGGCTTTTGTGAAGACATCGGTGTCCTCGCCGACCCGGCCGTCGCCTCCAAGTTTAACTCATTCTTCCGCCCGCCTGAAGACCGCGACGCCACCGATCCAGTCACGCCAAAGTCGCCGCTCTCGCCGCTCTCGCCGCTCTCACCGCGGCTCGCTTCCACTCACCGCAAGTCGCTTGCTCCGCGCTCGCCAAACTCGCCCAACGCGCCACTCATTCCTCGCCGCCGCCGCTCGTCGCGCGCCTAGCCTGCCGCCACGCACGCCACCGACTAAACGCCTTGCTGTCGAAGACCGCATCATCGCCGTCACTCACGATGCCTAGCTGCGTCAGTGCTTGCCATGACCCACACCTGGCTGCGCTCTCCGCCTCGTTGGCATCGGATGGCAGCTGCCGCGCAAACGCGCTCAGGCGTACATCCGCCTTCACCCGCTCCCACCACGCCGCGTGATCGAGCTCGTCTGCGCCAAGCCATTCGCCAATCGACGCAAACGCCACTTGCTGTCGGCCTTCGACCTCGAGTGGATCCGGCCCGCCGCTAGCTGCCACAGCTGTCAGTGGTGTCTGTGCCCATGCCAGTCCCGCCAGCACGCGGCCCACCACCTTGGCATCAACAAGCCGGATGCTGGCATCCGACACCGGCACTGCTCCCTGATCCTCCATCCCGTCCACAAGAGCCGAGAACCAGTCGCGCGCGTTGCCGCGCCCGCTGGCATAGTCCGGGCCGACCATTCCGAGTCGGACAATCGGGATCGTGAGCCGAAGCTCAGCCCGCGCCGCCACGCAAACCCGCTCTGCCGCCCACTTGGAGAGTGCGTAGCCGCCCTCGTCGCCACGTGGCCCGTCGGCAGGCACCGCGCTTGCCGAAGCCGTCGAAACGTGCACGACGTAGCTTGCCCCGATGGCTCGCGCCATCTCCAACACACGGCGCGTCCCATGGACGTTGGCTTCGGCCAGCGCCGCGTAGGGATGGACGTGCGAGACCCATGCGCCGGCATGAATAACCGCCCTAATCCCGGCTCTGGTCATCACATCGACGTCGACGCCGAGGCCTGCAAGCGTGAGATCGCCCATCACCATCTCGACGCCAGCAGGAAGTGCCTCGGTGGCAGCACTTGATTCTCGCACTATGGCAAACACTCGCACTTGCGAGCCGGTCGCGATGAGCGCGTCAATCACCGCACGCCCAACATGTCCGGTCGCGCCAGTCACCAGCACGCCGTCGCGATTGTCGCGGCTCGGACCTGGTTCACAATCAAGGGTGGCAAATGGGGTCGCTACGTCAGCAAGGACGGCAGTCGCCGTGTGAGCGGCACCGTTCGACACGCTGGGCGCGCCGCCACTTGCGAGCGAGTCGGCAACCTCCTGCAGCGACATGTCGCCCGCCAAAAAGCCCAGATCCTCCGCTGGCAGCTCGATACCCGCAGCTTTGAGCTTGGATGCCAGGCGGAGACCAGTGAGCGAGTCACCGCCCGCGCCCACAAACGAGTCGGTGAGTGCCACGCCCGAGAGCCCAAGCACGTCGGCGACCATGGCTCCAAGTGATGCCCGCGAGCACGCAGCGTCAATCGCGCCCTGGTACGCAGCTTGTAACGCCACGCGCGCCGGCTTGTGCGACGAGGTGAGGAGACCGTTGGCGACCGAAAACGGCTCCGTCTCGATGACAACCGCAAATGGGATCTCCTGTGGCGAGATGTTGCTGTTGTCCATGGCTGCAGCTCCAGCCAGAGCGGCGATGAGCGCATCGCACGCCGCAGCTTGCACACTCGCATCGGCTGCGCGGAAGTCGGCTGCACTCGTCAACTCGCTTCCATCGGGGAGGCGAAGCGGAAAGTGTGGGACGATGACCGCTGCCACCGAATCCTGCTGGGTACCAAACGAGCCCGAGGTGATGAAAACCTGGCGGAGTACGGCCGGAAGCGCCGAGAGGTAGGTGGCCTCGAGAGCGGCGGCGGCAACGAGGACGCCCGAGGTGAGCTTGAAGACCGACTTGATGCGATCAATGATGCGGATCTTGCGCGAGCCGCGCAGCTCGACAATGTCGCCAGTGTGAAAGTAGCCATCGGCGTCCCAGGCATCGGCGTGCACCATGCCAGCGTCGCCGTAGTACGAGGTAATCATGAACCGTGGATCGCGGCTCTTGGCGAGGAACTCACCACGCGGGTACGGCACATCGTCGAGCGTGTACCCAAGCTCCGGCAGTGGACGGAGCTTATACATGATGTGCGAGTAGACAATGCCGGCGTCGTTGGCGATGTTGCCGAGCTCGGTCGAGCCGTAGCCGTCGCTCACGATCGGCCCAAAGACAGCGCGTAGAAAGCCGAGGACTGCGTTGTCTGACTTGGCCCCACCACATCCAATCGACGTAAGCCGCGGGCCCAGCAGCGAGCCGTATGCCTCGATCATTTCCAATGCTATCCTCCACGCTTCGGCCTCGGCTGGAGGCATGTCATCCAGCGGGAGGGCGGCGACGGCCGAGGAGCGAAGCTCGGCCACTGCCGCTTCAGTGGCCGGAGGGGCGTAGCGCCACTCGGAGCGCGAATGCGACCACGCGGCGTCGATCGAGATCCGCGGGAGGCCTGCAGCGTCGAGTCGCGCAAACAGCTCGCGATGAAAGTCCGAGAAGATGGCGTTCCAGAACCGCGGCGTTGCCGAGATGGTCGACGGGCCGTAGGCGAGGATGTTCTCAAACAGCGTCTCTTTTGACGAGATGACGCCGACACGGCCGCCTGAGACTAGCGCGCAGTGAACGGCTTCGCGGTCCGAGATGTGTGCCAGTGGGTCCTTGGAGAGGACAACAAACGGATCATGTCGGGCGTGCATCGAGTCGAGCAGGAGCCGCGCCCAGAGTGTCTGTGAGAAAGGCGCGCCCTTGGGCACGCCTGTCGAGCCCGAGGTGTGGACGACAGTAACAAGCGAAGACTCCAGCTCGCCAGCCGCCACCTGCCGTGGCATCAGACGGACGTCGCTCTTGCCGTGGCCCGGGTGGTAGACCGCCGACATTGGGAGAAGAACCGGCGAGGCGTCGAGGCTGGTAATGACAGCTGCAAGCCGTGGCAGCCGGGCATCGTCGACCACAAGCGCGTCAAACGCAATGGAGCCAAGAAGCGCAGCGAGAACTGCATCACGGGCATCGGTGTGGATGGGAAAGACGGTATGGGCTCGGAGGAGGCAGCCGAGATCCGCAATGAACCATGGGATCGAGTTGGCGCCGCAGATGCCGATCCGGAGCTGAGCTGTGGCGCGAGGCGCGAGACGCTCCTCAAGCGCGGCAGCAAAGTTAAGGGCCGCAGCGTAGACCTCAGCGTAAGTGAGAACCGAGCCCGGCGGGAGATAGAGTGGGTCACGATGGGCCATGAGACACGGCCGCGGGCCATAGCCGGCAAAGGCCAGGGCGAGGATGGCGGGAACACTCCGCTGCGCCTCGTCGGCCGTAGCCGTGCGGATGATAGCCTGGACCGAGATGCGTGAGAGAGTCACCTCAATGTACGCCGGTAGATCGAGGCCGGCGACAGGCAGATGGGCCGTGAGTGGCGTGACCGCGGCGCACGCGGCGCACAGATCGTAGTCGGAGACGCAAGTGGCGTGGAAGCGAGCGGTGGGCTCGATGATGTCACAGCGGCAGCCATCGCATCGGAAGACCCTCAACTGTAGATCGTCAACCGAAGCTGTCGCCACCGGCAGCGGATGGGCGGCATCCTCCTCCTTGAGCGCGTCTAGCTTGGCCTGCAGCGCCTCCGCCCGTTTGAGCAGAACTGCCTGAGTTGGGCCGGGTCGGCTGCCTGCTGCGGAGCAGGCGTCATCCACAGGGCCATCGCCTTCATCGAGCTTTGCCAGTGTCCGCTTCAGCTGCTCTTGTAGCAGTGCCATGCGCATGGCGGCATGGGAGGTCCATGCGCTGGCTACTGTGTCGTGCATGGGGGGGGGGAGAGAGAGGAGGGGTGTGAGACACGAGGCACGAGGGGCGGGGGGGGAGGGGGGGGGGGGGGGGCAAGAGGGAAGGATTGGCCGATGGAAGTGGCGATGGGAATGGGAATGGGAATAGGCGTACATCCATGATGAGCTCGGCAGGGAGGGCAAGGAGAGAGGATGTGTGGGTGGTCATTGATGAGTACGTCGTGGTGAGTGGGGTCGGAGGGAGTGGAGGGTCAATGCTTGGTGCGGCGTGGCGAAGGACAAAGATGCACTCGTCGGCGAAAGAGAGAAGCTTGAGGCCGATCTGGGCAATGGCATTGGTAACACGGACAGCCGAGTGCAGGGCGGTATTTCGCCTGGCCTATGGCGGCCATGGCAGCGCCGAGTGCATCGATCATGCTAGGCGCAAGGAGACCCCAGGGGGGTTGCTCCGGAATCAAGTGCAGGTTGAGACAAAATGGAAGGTGGCTTCCATGAGCGGGCAACTGGAGGGAGTGGTTTGTCATGCGGGGAGAGAATGGGGAGGGTAGGCAATGGCGACGTAGACAAAGTTGTCGGCGTAGGCCATGGAGTTGGTGAGATCGTGGAGGGTGACATCGGGATCGAGCTCGACGCCGTGGACAAGGACGATGGTGCCTGGCGGTTTGTCGGGGAGGAGGGCGTCGAGGGCGTTGCCGAGCGTGGTTAGCTCGCCCGTGGTCGGATGAATGGGGAGGATCAGGTCGGCCATGGTGGGCGTGTTGCGGAAAGCAAGGCGGAGCGGGACGTGCTTGAGCTTTGCGGGCGAGGCGACCGAGTCTGCCGAGAGGGTGCGGTTGACGGCCCAGTAGCGGTCGTAGTCGTGGGTGGCGACGGCTCGGAAGAGCTGGGCGTGGTTGGCCTTGGACATCAGCATGATGCCCTTGGACGAGCCGTGCTTGACGTACTCGGCCTCCTTGAGGCGGTTCATGTACCACGCCTTGACCTCCTCGGCCTCGACCATGGTTGTCATGTCCATCATGTTGGCGGTGTCGGCCTCGTCATCTTCGGCATCGTGCGGAAAGTCGGTAAAGTGGACAACAAGCTCCCACACGCCGTCGACGCCTGCCGCGCCAGCACTACCACCAGTGGCGGCCTTGACTGCAGCCTCTGCCG